CCTCCCCGGCCCCTTGCCGTCACTGGCCCAGGCTGTTAGAAGGGCTGTGTGCAGTCGGCCGCTGGCATCAGCTCCCGGGATCAAGTTTTGGTTTCGTAACAGTAAACAAGGGCAGTCCTGACTCGCAGCCTATTTGAGGAATGACAACCCACTCAAAAGACGCCTTTTCAGTCAGATGTAGTGCATGTGGACGCGAGCTTACACCCTCAGCTGCTCACTGAAAGCCCCGTGAGCTGCTCTATGGGAGGAGGAGGTACCAGTTTGCTTCCCGACAAACGTCAAGTTCATGGGCAGTGCTACCCTACCCTACAGGGTCAGGCCGTGCCAGAATCAAGGGCGATGGGTTGGTCTGGGCCTATGTAGGGATGTTATCATCCTCATGAGGATGTTCACTTGCAGGCATTCAATGGTAGGACTGACTACTCAAACACTGCTATATGAAAAGAAAAAAAGTTTAAGGTAGTCCACTGATATCACAACTAGCTTACAACTGAGCCATTGGACTAGGGCTCTATCGTGTTGGGGGCAATCTGAGATCCACTACGACTCCACTCTATCACTCACTCGATGCCATGGAATTGATGCCAACTGAGTGCCCCTATAGGATGGGGTAGAACTGCCCCTGTGGGTTCCCGAAACTGTAACTCATGAGCTTAGAACGTTCCACTTTTGCCCCCTTTGACTCTATAGACAAGTCCCCAAACTGAATTCAACCAATGTTGAATTCATCATGCGACTGTGAGACACTATTGTTATCACAGTCTTATAAACAAAGAAACCGGGGCTCTAAAGGCAGGTGCCTGTTGAGAGGCCCAGGCAGGAGAAAAGCCAATCAGTGTGCCTGACAGCCCCTGCCTGGCCACCACGGCTGCCCGTCCATACTGCCCCACAACTGGGGGTGGAATCCCACCTACCCTTTCGGCCTGGTTGGCATGCCACATCCCCCCTCCAGTGGGGTGGGACCTACTGCTCAGTGAGCCAGCTCCTTTGCATCCAGGCCGGTTCAGACTCTCGGTGACCCCCTGGGTCTTAGAGTAGAACTGGGCTCTAAGTGGCTTGTTCTTAAAAGCAGCAGACCCTTCCAAGGTGCCTCTGTGTGGCCCTAAACGTTTTGGTTAGCAGCTGTTTGCACTAGCCAGGCACTCGGCTCCCCTCTGCACCATGAGCCAGTTCTCACTGGGAGGAGGGGAAGAATTCCATCAAGCTGATGGGAGGGGGGGGTGGCGAGTTTTAGATGATTTCTGATGAAGGCCCCAGCCCCGCCTCCAACTCACGGAGACCCCAGGGAGCCAGTGTTTCTGACAGGGACCTCTCTCATCCTTTAGGAGGGAAAGAGCAGAGAACCAGGCAGTGCTGGTGGTTAAGCACACATGGAAACGGATATGGGAGATAGACTTTGGCAGGCCTTGGATACCAGGCCAGAGCTGTTGGCCTGTCACGAGGGTGAGGTGATCCGAGGGAAGGCCCTTGGTATTCAAGGAGCCTGCAGGAAACCATCCCCTCAAGCAGTTATGTCAGGAAAGAGGCAAAACGGGGAGGCATTACAGAGAAAGCAGCAGCTCCAGGTGCTAGGAAGTCCCGACGACGGGGTGGAGGCTGGCAAGGCAGCTGGAGAGAACAGCCGGGCATCTCAGCAAAGGGACCGCTTGCCCCTACCACAGGCCCCACCTTGTGCTGCCACACCCGTTCGCGTGTCCCTGGTCCTAAAGGCTCAGAGGGCCTCCTTTAAAATGCTCTCAGTTCAGAGCAACCAGCTACATTCCACATGTCTGCCGCCTTCACCCTTGGCCAGCATTGCCCAGGGAGAGAGCTCAGAAGGCCGGAAGGCATAGAAAGGAGCGATGGAAACAAGAACCCCAGGAAGGGAATGCGAACAGTGCTGGTGCTCTTTTGGGGGTGGGGAGCAATCAGTGCCACACAAAATGTGTATGAAGTGTTGAAATGGACAACCAGTGAGCTCTGTGCAGGTTCGTGCCAACCACAACAACAAAAGGGAAAAGTCCCTGTTCACACTGCCCATCGCAAGGCCTTTCTTAAAGGCCGGGAGCCTGTCCTAGGACCTGGTCCAGGTCTGGGTGCTGGACGAACAGGCGTGGTGGTGAGGGAGGTGGACAACCACAACGAAGTCTGGCGATCAGAATGGCAGGGCGCTGGGGAGGTCTGCAGCGCGGGCACTGTGTGGGCTGTGGGGGGTGCTTCGGAGACAGAAGCTGATCGCGAAGGTGGCAGCCCCGCAGACGCCCCGGGCGCGGCGCGTGCTCTCATCTCAGAACTGTGTGGCCTTTCATTCACATTCCCACCCAAAGAACGATCTGTTCACAAAAACCCAGATGCGGGCTGTCCACGCTGAAGGTCAACAGGCACTGTTCATCCAGGGGGGCGGGGGCTTCGTGACCAGCGGGGAGAAGGAAGAAGGCCAAAGAGAAGAGGGGGCAGGAGGAGGAATCAGGTGAGGCCAGTGGTGTGGCCAGACCCCCGCCGCCCCCCACGGGCTTCTCTGGGTGGAGCGGTCCCGGGTCAAGGTCAAGAGGCCGGGCCCGGGTTCCCAGCGCCCTCCCCACTTCCGGCGCTCACCCCAGAGCCCCGGGCTATGGCTTCGAGGGCAACCTCTGCAAGTGAACACGTCTGTTTCCTGGGCCCGCGGTCCTAGGGCCGCTCACGGGCTTGCTCCCTTCACCCCCGCCCCGCTCAGCGCGCCCGCCCCTCGGCCTGACAGTCATTCGACTCTCCGTGGCAGGAACCCCAGTGGGTGAATGAACGAACCAACGAACCACAGAATACACCAGGGCACCTCAGACGAAGCCGCCCCGGGCCCCGCACGACGCCCACCGGGAGCGGGCCTTCGAACCCTCGGCCCCTCCGCAGCCCCAGCGCCGGGCAGAGCAGCCCCGGTTCCCGCCCCGCTCACCCCGCGGATCCCGCGGAGCACAGGCGCCGCCGCGGCCGGGACCCACGCCGCCATGCCGGCCGCCGCGGCCCGCCGCCCGAGCTCGCCGAGTCGCCGGAAAGGCGTAGAGACAGGCCCTCGCGCCGCTAGCACCCGCCAGGCTGCCCCCTAGCGGCTGGAGGCCGAGGCCCCGCCCACCAGGCCCCGCCCCCTGACGCGCTCACTCCCCGCCCCAGGTCAGATTCCCGCCGCGCCGCCATGACGCCGTGGCCAAGGCCGCCGTCGGCGGGGTCAGCCCTCGCGCTTCTCTCGGTGGGCACGCCCCACGCCCTGGGCAGGCTTCCGAAAGATCGCTGCGGCTCCTGGGTGCTGGGGACCTCTCCGGGAGCTGAACTTGTAGACAAGCTGGAACGGTTCAGGTGAGAACTCAGGTCTGCACTAACTAAAGTAGGTCCCTTGTTAAGCGCCGTCCAGTCGGACCAGGCCTAGCGACCCTGTCGAAACGCTCCGTGTCACCGTCGCAATTGCTCTAACCCGTTGGTTAAGCTACCGTTGTCAGTCCATCTTGTTGAAGGTGCACCTCTTTTTCTCTGCCCGTAGACTTTACCAAGCTTGATGTCTTTTCCCAGAAACGGGTCCTTCCTGCTAACATGCCCGGAGGATGTGAGCTAGTCTTGCCAGTCTGGTTTCTAAGGAGCATTTTGGCCGTGCTTCCTCCTCCAAGACAGATTTGTACCTTCTCTGGCAGGGCAGGGCACTACCAGGCTTCTTTCACCAACACCGTATTCAAATGTTCTCCAGTCTTCCTCCATTGTCCAGCCTTCCGCATGCATATGAAGTGATTGAGACACAGTGGCTTAGGTCACAACTAGTCCTCAAAGTGACATCTTTGCCTTTGAACTCTTAAAAAGGTCTTTTGCAGCAGATTTGACCAATCCGTTAATTTCTTGACAGCTGATTCCAGAATTTACCATAATTGTGGATCCAAGCAAGATGAAGTTCTGGGTATCTTTTCTCCATTTATTGTGTTGTTTATTGATCTTTTTGTTTTCTTTATGCTAAAGGCTGCAGTGTTTTCTTTATCAGTCAGCCCTTCAAGTCCCCTTCGCTTTTGACAAGCAAAGGTTGTACCATCTGCATACTGCAGGTAGCTAATGAATGAGCCTATGGTCCTGATGCTGCATTCTTCTTCAGAGTCCAGATTCTCTGGTTTGTTGCTTAGCCTACAGATTGAATAAATGCAGTGAAAGGAAACCCCCTGAAGGAGGTGGGTACGTGGGTGATGCTAATGGAACACCCACCCAGAGATGCCGGCAACCTTCCTAATACCACCCTTTCATACAGTTCATTTTGTGGTGACACCCCCAGCCATGAAATTATTTTTGTTGCTAATTCATCACTGTCATGTTGCTACTGTGATGAATTGGGCAACCCCCGTGAAAGTGTCGTTCGCGGCCCCCCAAAGGGTCACGACCCACAGGTTGAGAACGGCTGCCTTATGCAGTTCTACTCTTCATGCGCATAGTGCCCTCAACTGTTGGAAACTACTCCATAGCAACTAACCCCTCTGCGAGAGCAGTGGCAGCAGTGAAACCCCTGGGAAGTGAATGAAAGGAACACTGAGCCTAGCACTGGCGGCTACCTTCCATGCTGCTCCACGAGAGGAACATGAGGCTGTCTGGCCGTCAAGATTTGGTTTCAGAAGCCTTATGGACCAGCTCTGTTCTGTCTGTCCTGGAGGGTTGCTATTAGTCAGAATCAACTAGATGGCAGTGGGGTTTTGTGGGAGAAGCCAGCCCCCACAACTAATCAAGGGTTAGGTAGGCTCAATTGTACAGTTAAAGATATATATATATATTTCATTAAAGTTACAGAGAATAATCGATAGGAGAAAGTAAAACGAAGAAGTCAGACACATTTCACGGTAGCATGCTCACCTCCTGGACCGCCATGATCTCAACAGCCAGGTTTGTGCACAGTGCAGGCAGAGAGGGCAGGAGCGCGAGATTTATTACTAACCAAGACATATCTTTTGGGGCGTGCAAGCCCCCAGATTACAGGTAAAGACATACATCACAGGAAGGGGTTGTAGTATAGGTAATACAGTAATGGGAAGGGGCCGATCTAGGGGTGAACGTGCTATAGGAAGAGGAGGGATTTAAGGTATACACGTGACAAGATGGGCGGATCCTAGATTCATGAAGTTGGCACCTGACCTTGATTGCCCTTGAGCTGGAGACTTGATTTAGCCTAAGCTTTCAGGGGAAGCAATCCACTGTCCTTAACAGGGAGTGAGCCCCACCTATGGTGGGAATAAACAAGTGTCTGATTGCTCTGGATGGCTGATTGCCTACAGGGAGGATATCTCTAAGCATCTGACCTCCCACCTTGTGTGGGCAAACAGCCTCTAATGTTGGCCTATCTTTGGGGAAGACAAAGCTGGGGGAAAGTCTTCATATCCCACAGAGTTTTTGTGTTTGTTTTGTCTGTTGGGAAGCATCTGAGATGACTCAAATTCCTGGTGTGGGCACTAAAATGAGAAAGGGTAGATTTAGGGGGAGGGGAACTCAAACTTAAGTTTGGATTTACCTGAGTTTAAGGTTGAGGAAGATGAGGCTTTCTACCTCTGTAAAAAGTTAGCCTCAAGGGAAGAGGTGTTAACAAACCCAGGGACAAGGGAACAACAAGCGATCCAAATTGGTGGTGAGGTGGGTGTGGGAGACCTGGTAGGGCAGGATCAAGGGGAATGTAACAAAGAGGAAGTGCTGAAATCCTGGTGGGGACTGAGCATGATAGTGGGACAGGAGGAGAATCAAGGGAA